AATTTATTAGTCACTGACCGGCATGTCCCATGTGAGCTTACGCAATATGTTACTCCTGTGATCTCCCAATGGGGCATATCAAGCGAAAACGTGATTGCCTTAGTCCAACATAAGGAAGCGATGCATAAACGAAAGAAACGAGTAGCAGTTCTCGTGAAAACATGTTCGAATACATACTCGAAATTTAGGCTCTTCGGTAACACCCATACATTATATTGCACGTAACATGGAAGCATATGCATTCGAAAACTTGACAAAACGATTATTTTACAACGTAATTTTACTTGTGCTGCTTTATTTACTCAGTGGTTTTGCATAAATGGCTTCCTCTTAATGTAAACCTTAAGTTTACCTAGTACGCCCGATTTCCACTTTTTCGGAAAACTTTGTTAAAAAAGCTGGTATTTCTATAAAACGTTATACTCCTTCATAAATAATTGTTAAAAAAGTTAGTGTTTCTATAAAACGTTATATTGCTTCATAAATCATAATATGACCTATTGTGAAGAACGATCAATGTTGTCCGTCCCGTTTGTTCAATACCCGCCGCCTCGCATAGGAGTTTTGACCTACTTCTCAATTCACACACACACGCATGCGTGCAAAAAGTCGCGGCTGCCAAATCCCCGTCCAGATGGTTGCGGTCATGGAACACGCTGCATAGTTGCTAGTTTCGCGACGTAATTATTGTTATCCATGAGTGCTATTCTGTAACCTTTGTCTGGCCTGGTGAGCGCCATGCTTTCATTTCCGCGAAGCATTTCATGCCACGATAAACCCTTGCTAAGGGAGCTTTGTTTCTTGGAGTTTTTAAATGAAATTAGTAGTAGTTGACCAGAGTGGACTTTAAATGATCTAATTCTCTGGGATCGGTAGATTTCAGATCGACAGGTTAGCTAAATAGGTTTTCGAATCGGATTTCTAGCTCTAGGTGCTTCGGAATCTGTCGTGCAATACAAACTTTAGGACGTGGAGATAGTACATCTAAGAGGCTATTACCAAGAAGTACTGAAGAATTGTTGTGTACGTACCACTCCCGATTGTTTGGAAGGGGGATCTGCGCTGTCATTGGTTCGGCACTTCATAAGGGAGTTAGTCCACCTGACCTCCAATCTTTTATTTTTGACCGTTCGCCTATAGTCTTTCATGGATTCCTGAAGCCTGACACCAGATTTGCAGATCGGAATGTATGGATCAGGACGAAAATCCGAGACATTACCGTCAAATCTTATGAAGAAAACATATCACAGTTTCCCCAGCCACGCTGAGATTATAAATACGAAAACAATTACGTAATTGTAAAAAGCCAGTCTACGTATGTCAAATACCCACTAGTCTCTGCAGGATGTATCATTCTTTCATGAAGGGGCGCGGACTTCACGTGCGTGAAAGTAACATAAAGGCACCATTAGGCAGGAGCCACTGAGCGATCGATTGGCATGCAGACGCATTTGACCGAATAGGTCCATCTGATGGCGAAATATATCTGGGTAGTGTGAGGCCGATGGGACTGATGAGACTTCTGGGAGTGGGAAATCAGTTTCGGTGCGATGGATTGGTAAGTACCCAACCAAACCGTTGCGCGTGTCGAAATCGAACACTGACACGAGAGTTTCCCATGGTCAACAACAGGAATGTTTCCAAGTCACAAGTCAGGGAAGACGAATTGGGCTAGACGAGCTGAATGATTTTCAAGGAACCCCTCTTCGGTTAACGCAACTCCTACACACAGAACCCCACCATCAATGCACTTTAAAAACCCGAACTGCCCCAAGATGAGTATACTTTTCAGTCAAGCCTCGCTTTTGTATAAAATTGCCACAATCTACAAATATGGCGACGTCAAGTGTCAAACTACAACCACTATATTGTGTACGAATTCCGCAGTCATACCTTGACTTGATCTGATACCGCTACCTGAAGGCCCACCCAATCACCGTCAAGCTCCTCATATCCACCCCATCTGTTCACGCACTGCATTGGTCTGTTCGGACACAGGCGTGAGCACGACGATTGACACATCATTCGTAATTTGCGGAAAAATCCTTGTGACGTAGGTGGCTACCTTCAGGCGAACTAATGGTTGAGTTTCTGATCAGACTGAGGAGTGGACCAGGTAGTCATTTTAATCCAATTGTCCATAGGTCATGTCAAAAAGTAAAACGACTAACTTTTATTTATCCTGATGATAGATCAGTGTTCGACAAAGAAATATAATCACCTATTTAAATCGTCATTGATAACAGGTGAAAGAACAAAAACGGGACAATTTATATATTATAGTAGAGTATAGCATATCATCATGGTCACTATGTGACGGTCTAGTGGGTTTACGTTGTGAGCTCCTGGGCAAAGCGGAACTTAATTGTTCCTCTA